TCAGACCTGACGGCTAAAGCATTTGCAAAAAGAGGCATTGTGGTGTTCAAGCCGTCTGATGCTACACTAACAAAACTTCTGGAAGTGCAGTGGTATAAAACAAGTGCCACCCCCTGCTAGAGACTGCCATTTGGATAGTCAATGGGATAAGAGGCTCGCCCTGCTTGGTGAGACCTGGACAGGCAGCTTGATGGACACAAGGACCTAAGATGGCTTCACTCTTGCACCTGCTGCCTGGGCTGGGCTGGCTGGAACATCAGGCGGCCACAGGCTTTTTCCCCTCTTCTAATCTCTTATCCCCCAGAGGAACTCTGCCGCAGACAGCAGTCAGACTTCTATGTGACAGCTGTCCTCCAAAAGGACTTTATGGTCTGACCTGTGCCCCCACCCAACTCATTATGTTGAAGTGTTAACACCCCCTCAAAAAAAAAACCCCAAAAAACTCAAAACGTGCCTGTATTTGAAATGAGAACTTGGCTAAATGAGAAGCCTGAATCAGGTAGCATAGAAAAGGAGGCATCTGTGTGTGTGCATGTGTGTAGTGTAGTGTAAAGGTGCTCAGCTGTAAGCCCAAGACAGAGGCTTTGGGGGACCCAACCTGCTAACATCCCCATCTGGGATTTCCAACCTCCAGAAAGGAGCAAGAAAGGGTTCTGTTGGTGCTGCCCCAATCTGCGCTGCTCTGTTACAGAAGCCCCAGCAAATGAAGGTAGAGCTCAAAAAACTGGAGACTCCAACCTCACACCAGCAAGCACCGAGGAGACACAGGTCGGCCAAATCAATCACAGAATAAGCCCGACTCGCGGGAAGAAAGGAGGAATAAGCAGAAGTCCAAACTGGAGCTCCCCATCTGACCTCTAGCCATCAGCCACAGGACCAAGAGAGAAAACTGGCAGGTACCTTAGTGATACAGCTCTTCAGTACAATTTTTTCACTGGATGATTTAAAGGCTTGCGTGAATGCTTATTAGGCAGCAATAGTTCAGGTACAGCATGTGAGAAACTATCTTAAAAAGTGCAAGGATCGCGTCTGCATCCTTTTTTGGGATCTGGTATGAAAGTACATTCCTTGGGATCCATGGTGCTTCTGCAGAAAGAATCCTGAAGTAATCAATCAATCACTCCAGGAAAACTCACCTGCATGCTGACCAAAGTTCTGATCATAATTCCAGCAAATATAAGGAGAAGCAAAAAAAACCCAGAACTTGAGAAGGTCACTAGGGATGGGGAAGCAGTGGGGATGGCGCTTCCCTGAGGTGCATGGGAATACTAAACACCACCGATTTCCTACCAACAGCCAGAAGCTGACCACAGAACTGCCTTCTGTGGCTGTTTCTGTCAAACTGGTACTAATCAGATTGGAAGTCCAGAGAATGAAATCATGATTTCTTACTCTAGAAACACATTCTGCATGAGCAGAAAAACAGGGAATAAGCATAGCTAAGCATGTGAGAGTGAGAAGCATTACGTGGATGGCTGGAGAAAAGAACCTCAACCAAGACTTAAACATGCTTCTGAAAGCACCCCTGATGCGTTTGTAACTGCTCTGTCCTCTGAGAGGCATGAGTGCCGCAGTATTTCCAGCCATCACAACACACAACAATGACCCTGGTCCACGCCACAGTGGCCTTGCAGTGCTGTTAGGCATAGCTGGTGGCATCAGCACAGAAGATTCATTCCCAAGTCAGAAGCTTCTGCAGGTGACAAGATGCCTGCTCCAAAATCCATGAGAAAATTGCGATTGAGAGAAGCAATGTCAGGAAGTGGCTCAGCATGGCAGGGAGCAAGGTTCCTGCAGACTAGGAAATGGCACTGATCCGGATGACGCTTCTGTACTGAGTAGGGTGCTGAGGCGAGTCCCTAAAATCCACTTTAGTGCACACCTCCTTGGGCCATAGAGAGTGCACCCCACACTCTACGGGCAATGGAGCTGAGGTCGCCGCCCTTGAGGGCAAAATTCAAGTGACCACCAGTGGGACTCACCCCACTCAGGTACATGGTAAGCACCACTGGACATGAGCATGTCTGTGTCTAGGAACATGAAGTACTTGTCCTCGTTTTTGTTTGTAACTTTTATTTCCCTTTGGTAAACTGTTTGGACACTTTGCCTTCTTCATAAATAAAACAGTACTCTGAAGATCTTGGCTGGAGAAGTAGAACCCACTCGGGGTGGTTTAAGTAGAAAACAAACAAAACCTGCAAAAGGAGAGCTGGGTATGCAGACCAGAGGTACAGGGCTTGGCGCGTCAGGCCTGGGACCTTGGGCGCCCTCCCCAGAACTGAAACAAACAAAAGAGAAAGCTACAAGGATGAGTACTCTCAAAGGACACACACTGTCTTCTCCGAACAGCTTTTCCTGATTCTTCTGTCTCAAGGGACCCAGGACCTTCCCTAGCTCCTTACCCTTCTAGTCTCCTCTCCCTCTCCCGCTACTGCGGGCCCCTGGATGCTGCCTTTGTCCTGCTGCCTTGTGCTTATAGCACTCCTGAAGTTCTCCTTTGCCCACCTGCCTGCTTGCCACCTCTGAGAGGACGCTGGAAGTAGAGCTGCCCAGGGCGGGCGGCTCTGCCTTGAAGCCCCATGAGGGCCAGGGTTGGGTTGCGCTGACTCCCAGCCAGCACGTGAGCCAAGCCTGGCACATAACACGGGTGCTAGGCTCCCGGGGCCAGGGCACCAAGCTGCCCTTCCTGTTGTTCCCGTTCTTTGCCTTGGTGGGAACTGTGGGCCTGTAATGGGTCCTTCCCACCTCTGCAATATCCTCTTGGCTGAGAACTTTCTCCAAGTCCCTCTCATTTCTGAAAACATGCAGCAGTCTCCCCTAACCTTAGAGTGGAGGTTCAAAACCCTTCCAGTAACTCCAAAGTCCTTCAGGACTGCTCCCCTGTCTGCTTTGTATGACTCCCTGTACCTACTCTGCACTTCCCCAGTCACCAGGAACAGCCCCTGACCCTCAACAGAGCCCCTGCTGCACCCATCTCCAGGCTTTCCTAGTGCACTCTTGCCCTCACCTGCATCTCAGCTGTCCCTTCCAGAGCCCGGCAGGGGTGAGGTGGTCCTGCTACTGGCACCACAGTCTTCCACTCTCCTTATGCAGCTCTGTGGCGGGGAGGGGTGGTGCCAGTCTTTGTGCATCCTCCAGTGTCAAGCATCCCAACCCATGCTATCAGCAGATGCTCAGCACTTGGGCACAGTGAGCTGAGTATCAGCAGTGCTTGTCTCCTAAAGGCCTGTGACAAGAATACAGATGTACCCCAGTCTATAAATCTAATTGTTCCACAATTCTGATTGCATAACTGGTTCTACAATTCTGGTTGGAACTGAACTACAAACATGTATTCAGTTGCAACCAGAATCGTGGAAAGAATTAGGTTCACGAACTGAGGCACACTTGTGTCTAGCAATTGACCAGTGCAGGGAAACTATCTGGAAGACTAGGTACCCAATAAATATTTGCTGAATGAATTCCTGGCTTTCCTGATGTGTGGCTCCACTCCTTTCTCTCCCACTGGAGACAACAAATCAGAGTACACGTGGAGAAAAATGGCACTATTAAAGGGAACTCAATGAATCATTTGAAAGATCCACCCTTTATTGCTTGCCATAAATTACTGGACATGGACCTTAAGACTGATGATCACATATGACAGACAGCAGTTGAGAACAGCTGATTTAGACAAAGCTGAAAAATTCGAAGCACCTCTTGCTCTTAGTATTTTTATTTTCTGGAAGATAAAGATGACAGTAAGTTCAGGAAGAATTAATAACTGAATCAGTCCACACCTGTTGGGAGCCGCGGCCGAGCCCGGTCGCCTGCCGGCCGGGAGCGACACCAACATCTGGTGGCCCGTACGGGGATCTGATCACTCCCCTCGGTGGTGTGCAACGCTCCAGCGTGGTGCTGCCGGACAGGTGAGTGGGGGATAAGCCTGGGCTCTGGGTGGCGCGCACCTACAGGGCTTTTAGACTCCCCTCAGGCTCACGCGTAGGTGACGGGTTCTCTAAGTCACACGCGGTGAGTTACAGCCCTTAGAGGTTAAAGATGGGTAATTTACCGAGCGCGGAGGCGCGGCCCTTGGTAAAGGCCCTTAAGAAGCTTTTAAAATCTAGGGACCTCAGGGTAGGTCAAAAAACACTGGAACTATTCATAGCAGAGGTAGATAGGGTGGCTCCCTGGTTTTTACCCACGGGGCATTTAAACCTGCCGTCATGGGAGAAGTTAGGTGGGGACCTCGCCTCGGCGGAATCGGAAGGCGATATTTCGCTGGCTATTCGCCCCCTGTGGGAAATGATACATGCGTGCCTTGAAGGGGAGGGGAAGGGGTTCCCGTCGGCAGTTAGAGACGCGGAAATCATGGACGCACGCAAGGCTTTTGAGCAGGCAAAATCGGAATGCTCTCTGGAGGGATCTGTCCAGGGGGAGAAGATCCAGGGAAAGATAGAGGACACCCAAGCTCTGGAGTCCTCCGACTCAGATAGCGAGGAGGAACCAGAAGGTGGGGCAGGAAGCCGAGAGGCCCAAAACCCCTATGCCGAGTTGCGCCGCGAATTGTGTGCGTGCGCCGCTCGAGAAAAGCAGAGAGAGGAGAAAGGACCCCCGAGCGCCCTCTGGCAGGGAGGAGATAGAGAGCCATCCGCTCCGCCCTGGAGTTGTTTTCCAGAAGCGGTTCCCCGCCGAGAGGCCGCTACAGGGGACCCTCCCTTCTCTCAGCCGGCACTGTCGCGACTGCCGTCCTATGACGTCGCGCCGCGGGGCGGACGGTATTTTCATGGGCGGTTATGGAGGGGTGAACGATGGCCCAGAGGGGATCCATCAATGCAAGGAATAGATTACGGTCCTTATGGAGTATTTCCTGTGCAAATGGCCCCAGGCCAAGGACACAATGTTTGGGAACCGTTTGAAATAAAACAGATTAGAGAATTAAAAAGCGCTGTCACGACCTTCGGGCCCACAGCTCCTTATACCATAGCTATGCTAGAGAATCTTGCCTCTCAGCCTCTTACACCGGGTGACTGGATGCAGCTGGCCAAGGCATGCCTTCCTTCGGGTAGTTATCTTGATTGGCGAGCATGGTATGCAGAGTTCTCTGCCGAGCAGGCTGAGAGAAACGCCGGTCGAGGAAACGGGAGCTGGGGATTTAGCTCAGCGGCATAAGCGCCTGCCTTGTAAGCAGGCAATCGCGAGTTCGATCCCTGGTACCGATAAAAAAAAAAAAAAAAAAAAAAAAGAAAAAGAAATAAAAAATTAAAAATTAAAAATTAAAAAACAAAAAGGGGGAGTAAGCCAAGGCCTTCCTCCAAAGGCGGGGTTATCTATGGCATTATTCACATACAATTTTTTAAACTTAAACAGTGAAAATTGCTCCCCAGCTATGGCACATTGTACCCCATCCCCAAAAAATAAAGGATGGGTTAAATGGAAGGACGTCCTGACAGGACAATGGATGGGCCCGGATCCGGTAATCAGCTGGAACCGAGGCGCGGTTTGTGTTTTTCCGCAGGAACCGGGACGAGAACCACTGTGGGTCCCAGAGAGGTTGACGCGACAAGTCCCTCGACTGAAGATCAGGCCTGTTCCACCAGAGGCCAACCGCAGACCCAACAACAAGATGAGCCCTAAAAGAACTGCAGGACAATCCCTTTTTGGGGGCCTGGAACGGCTTGCTCCCCTATGTGCTACCCTTGTTAGGCCCTTTATGCTCCTTGTTCTTGCTCCTGCTTATAGGACCATCATTTATTAATGGCCACCTTGCGGCGGCCCGGCGTCAAGTACGCCTGGTTGCCCATGCGGCCCTGGCAGCAGCCCGTGATGGGCACAATGACCCCCAGGCCTACGCATGGCTCACTCGGTTGGCCTACGACCGAGTCTAGATGTGGTGGGTCTCCTGCACTCCTTCCCTAATGACACCGCACAGCAGGGTAGGTGAGTCAATGACGGGTAAGAGCGTGCCTCCCCAGCACGACTCGACCTAAGCCAGGCCCTACCCCATACTGCACGAAAGCCGCTGGATTACTAGAATCTGCCCAGATCTAGATGCCTCTCCGAGGGGATCACACGGAGGGGCATGAGTGCATGCCTATGTGCATCCAGGTTCCGTCCAGTTCACTCCTGGCCCTGGAAAAAGGACGAGGGTCTCAAGGCCTTGGCGGACCCGGGGACGGCCGACCAGGGTCCAAGCCAAGGGCCTACGGTGGGCCTCAACACAGGGCATAAGCCTCTGCACTCAATCCAGGGCGGGCTGCGATGCGTACATTCATTCAAAATAAATAAAATAGGGGGAGATGTTGGGAGCCGCGGCCGAGCCCAGTCGCCTTACTTGGCGGACGTGAGGCCTGTAGAAAAGAGCAAAGCCCGAGCTAGATTACCCCTCCCATCGAGTGAGCCAAGTTGGCGCCTGCTTCCTGCCCCCTGATTGCCCTGGCGACTTAAACAGCCCGCGCAATAGATTGGTCTACCTAGCAACCAATGACGATGACCAATCAGCTTGCATTGCTTGCTGTTGCCCTATTGGATGATGAGTCCATATATATATGTATGTGACCCTCCCTGCGAGGGAAGCACAGAGAGAGATAGAGAAAGTCCACCGGTAAGAAAGGACTGGTGGCAGAGCAGAGGCCTCACGGGGCCCATGCGGAGACAAATAAAGACAAGGTTGCACACCGTCAGAATCTGTCGTGTGTTTTTCCTGCCGGCCGGGAGCGACACCGACACACACCTCTTTTCATAAAATAGATTTCTACATACCCTAAGAGAATATTTATTTAAATTAAAACATCAGAAATTCCTTTTCATAGTTATTTCTTCCCATACCTGTGAGGCCCACCGGTAGCTCTTGTCTCCATTCAAAAGCCATCCTGCGTCATGGCAAGTGCCTGTAATCCCAGCACTCAGGAGTTAGAGGCAGAAGAATTGGTGCAAGTTCAAGACCAGCTTGGGCTACAAAGTGAGCTCAAGGCCAGGCTGAACTGCATAGTGAGACCCTGTCTCAAAAAACCCAGAAAAAAAATAACCATCCTATTGCACTTATGCTTGCATTAGGGAGAGCTCTTAGCCACCCCACGCCTGACCACATCGGTCCCTCAAATATGGCAACTGCTAGGTCTTATTTTGTTTTGGTCAACTGTATCTATTTTATCTTTTGGATAAAACATGCTTGCCAGTTTTATTCTTGTTTACATAAGGCATCCCTACATACCAATCACATGATGAAATACATCCCAAAATGAAAAATCCTAATAAAGGTTTCAGCCTTGGTATGTTGAAGAGAGAAACAAACAAATCCAAGAAAGCCAGAAGCCACAAAGCCACAGGGATGGCCACACACTCCAAACAAGGCTAAAGTTAGTAAAGGAAAATATAGCAACCCACAGCCAGTAACATCAGAACCCTTAATAGCCTACAAAACTAGCCAGTCCATCCACACAATCTCATCTGAGCTCTTTACCCCACAACAGAAGATGGCAAGGATTCAATGCTTTTAAAAGCATTGGAAGATCTTTTAGTCTATAGAAGATACTAGGGCTTAACATATTCAGGCCCAAGTTAGAAGAGAACATGAGAAAGGCAATGTATCAGGGTGTATTTTAAGGTTCATTATTATACCAAAAGGAGGAGCAATGAAGCCAAAATCCCAAGGGCACAACAGGAAGAGTATCGAGAACTGGAAGCTGTTTTAAAAACGAATAAATAGAGACCATAAGCACCTTGAGCAACAGTCCTCTCTGTTCCATGGGACAGAGAGGCTGCAGTCTCCAAGAACAGCAGGGCAGGCACCTGCCCCTTCTGTAGCTCTCTCAGATTCCAGGAAGAGTCTACATCTCCCAGTCACATCTAGAAACCTTCATTCGCAGGGGCTCTCAGATTCTTTGTGCTGAGGACACCTCTGCTAGTCTGATGAGGCACCCTGAACCCAATCAGAGAAATATCCCCAACATACAAACTACAAAAGGTCACAGCAACTCAGTTGTATGTGGTTATCAAGTGAGCTCCAAATTATAACTAAACCTTTATGAGCTTCTGTATTAAAGCATCGCATAACAGCCCTAGCAGGAGTCTTCTCCTCCCTTCACTCAGTTGAATCAAATGAACTAAATGTCTGTTGGAGTAGTATGAAAATGAAGATGTACTTTTTCCCATCCAGATTTTTGTGGATTACCTGATTTCCACCTGTAAAGTTCTAGTTTAAGAGCCCTTGGTTGACAGAGCCAGTAAAAATATATCTTGTGAGGCATCAAGTGAAAAATAAAATGCACTCACTGCCCATTCAACTGCCATGGAGGCAAGAACTAAAAGAATGAACACTGTTTTTCAAAACTCAGGAAGGGGGCTTCCTCTAGACGGCAGGAGAGCCGCATGCTCAACACAAACTGCAGAGGGCAATGGAGAGGGCGTGGGCAGCACTGCAGGGTTCAGCCTCCTTGGAGTTAGGGCCACGGGGCCCCAGCTCAGCCCTGGGGCAACTGGGCACAAATCTCCTCCTCCAAGGAGAAGTCTCTGCCTTCTGTACCTCTGCCTCAGTAAAATAAAAGGGAATATGCACCTAGGCCCAAGGCCTGTCCAGCCTTTGCCTCTATCATCACATCATCTCCTCCTTGCTATAGTAGTTATTTCAGTCTATTCATCACCGCCTTTCAGAAACACAGTAACTGCGCAAGTTTTACCCAGTTGGAATGCTCTCATGTACAACCTAACACCACTGAGTCATTAGGACTGTTTAAAGCCTCTATAGTGCACAGCTTATCCCTAAGAAGCAACTAGAGGATTGGTCTTTTCCGCCATTAAGACACCAAATGCAAGCACATTTGAATTCTAGCACCATCAGAATCAACAGATATCAAGCTACTCAGAAGCCGTAATGTAACTATGCATTTCCAAATCTCTCAGCCTACTTCTGACTCCACAGAATTGTCTCTCAAATCCAAAGCCACCAAAATGTTACTAAACTCAAAATTAAAAGCACATTTAAAATTAAGATCAAGACTTAATGATTAGACTGCTTTATTTTTTTCTTCCAGCAGTTATTAAGGGGCACAACAAAGATTTGTGGCTATGACACACTAACTGGTTGGAATTAAAGACATAATTTAAATTCCAATAATTTGTCAGAAAGTAATGTCCACACTAAAATCCTAACTATGGGCCAGTCTCTTAATCTTCATGCAGCACATGAAAAGTTTGCAGAAACATTTATGTGTGGATATAAACATTTATGCATGGATTAACTTTTTAGTCTGCTCCTCAGAATTTCCTAATAATATTTTACTACAAAACTCAGACAGCAAAACAAAGACACACAGCAGTGAAAACAAACAAACGGTATATTTTACAAGTAAGCAAGAGTTTCTATCACTAGCAAACACTGGGCATTTTCTGACCTCAAGGAAAAATGTATTAAAGAGAAAATCTGCACAGCATCTGCTTACTACTATTTATGTCCTACGGTCAGGCAGCAAAGCTGACAGTAAGTTCTGTTTGAATGTTATTGTTGCTTTAAGAGAGAAGTACTGTCTCCAGTTGAAAGCTGCAATATGATCCCAGCAGGGCCTCTAGGATTTACCTACCTATTCATTCTTTCACCTGCACTCTTCTGCAGAGTCTAATATTGCTACAAAGTCGGAAACCTACTCTCAAAAAGAGATCACAATTCAAGTATTCAAAAGCCAGACTACCGTGCTCTATTCAGTTTTTACTTCCTGGGAGACCAGCCCTGACCTACTTGAAGAAAGCCATGCCCACCTCCAGCACTCTTTGTCCACCTTAAGGAATTTCCCGCTGAGCACTTGGCAGGGCCCGATATTGCATTTATTATTCATTTACACACGGGTTTCTTTCTGTTTATGTCTGCCACTGCACACTAAAACCAAATGGTTCACTGCCAACTCTTCGGTACTCAAATGGAGCTGGCACATGGGTGGCAACGCTGTCATCCTTTATGTCTCCTGGAAAAGCCTTAGCGGAAGGAGGGTGCATGCCACTGGCAACTTAATGACACAGCCTATGACACCAGGGCAGAACAGGACTAAGTCCTTCCCTTGACTTTGGAATGCTCTGCACAAACATCTCAACAGGACTGCCTCAAAAGGAAATCGTGAAATAAAGTTCTGGCACAAGTTCATCCTATACTCAGTGTCAAGTTCACCGCGTGAAAACACACTTTGAAGCTGGCCACACAAACAAAACCCAACTCCACAAAATGAAGTTGGGCTGCAGCGCAGTTACATAAGACAGAATCCTGGCTTTCCTCCCTGCCATGTCCCTCTTCCCAGAGGACAGGGATATGGTCCTTCCTTGCAGTTCCCACCAGGGAGAAAGCCGCCCATCTGCAGGTCCTCCAAGTCCTAATCCTCCAGCAACAGGACCAAGAAACAGCGCGGTTCCACCAGCTGCCCAAAAGAACTTCCACTCGGTTCTAAGCGGGCACTCAGTGGGCCTTCCGATTGCCTCTTCCCGAGTTCGCCGCCCTGGCCCGCGGATGCGCTGAGCCTACCCAACAGCCCTGGAGCCCGAGTCGCCGGGATCCAGGTGGACGGCGCCAGCGGCACCTCGAGGCAGAACTGGCCCAAGCCCGCATCGCCACTCCCGGACTCGCGCACTCCGGCAACCTTGCACCCCTCGCTCCCGACGGGTTATTAGGGAACAATGAGGCTGTCACTCGGGCTGGAAGTAGGTGAGATCCAACTGCGCCCCTCCGCAAGTGCGGATCCCGGCGGTCCTGCTCGGGCTTGCCGCAGACGCGGGAGCGGGATCTAGGTGCGGGAAGGGGTTGCGGGGTGTCGGGGCACGGGAGGATCTGGAAGTCGGGGGCCGGGGAAGGGTGTCGGGGACCTGGAGAGGGAGGTCCGGAGGATGGGGTCGGGGCGTGGACCGGGTGAGGCCGCTCCGGGCAGCGGCTGCCGAGAGGGGGGCCCCGGCCCCCGGGCGGCCCGCTCCCCCGCGCCCGCCAGCCCCCGCCCGGGAGGACGCAGACCGAGCGGCCCCGGCGCGCACTCACCCCAGCACCACCAGCTCCCCGTACTTGACCGGCTCCTTGCCGGGGGCGCAGGGCTCCTCCGGGCCGGGGGCGAACATGGAGCCCCGCTCGGCCGCCGCCGCCGCGCTCCCCGCCGAGCCCGCGCCGCCGCTACCTTCCCATCCCGGGAACGGGGGCAGCGCGCCGGGCACGGGCACGGCGGCCAGGGGCGCGCGGGGCGGCCAGTCCCGGGGCTGCTCCGCCGTGGCTGCGCGCGGCCGCCCGGGCGAGCCGGGCGAGTGGACAGGGACGCGGACGCCGGGCCGCGCGGCGCCGTGGGCGGGGAGAGGAGGGGAGCGGAGGGGAGGGCAGGGCAGGGCAGGGGAGGGGAGGGCGGGAGCGCGGGGAGGGGCCCGGAGCCCGGCCCCGCCCCCGCGCGTGCTATGTAAACACGGGGCGCGGCGGGCGCGGGCGCCCTTAAAGGCGCCGCTCTGTTTTTCTCCGCGCTTCCTGCCCGAAAGTTGCAGCGCGGAGTCCCCGCCGCGCCGGGCAGCGGAAGCGCCGACTCGCGGGAGAGCCTCTCAGGCTGGAGCGGAGGCGGCGGCGTCGGAGCCCCGGGCCGGGCCAGCGTGGACACTGAAGCTGGATCTGCTGGGCTGTGCCGCCTGGCGCGCCGCGTCCCGGACCAGGACTGCGGGCGGCCCGGTCCGCTACCCAGGAGCCGCCCCTCGCCGCGCCCCTTTCCGTCCCTGAAGAACTTAGAGGAAAGGACCGGGAGGGCTTTTTAGCGAGTACAGTACGACCGTGCCTTCTCACCTTGGGTTAAGCAGTCCACTGTTTGCTTTACTTTTTTTTTAAATGGTTACTACTGTACCTTTAAAAAAAAAATTGCGGACCGTTGAAGCTTTGCTGCCTTCTGTTTTTCATCACGCGCGACTGTTTAACGTTGTTAAGCGCCCAAAATGTGAAGGAACTACACATTATTGCTGGTTACTGCCTATCGAGACTGTGAAATACTTAGAGAAATAGATGCTGCAAGCACTTCCCGATCTGTAAGCAGCAACTGATTGGCTGTGACCCTGAGTGAAAGGCTAGAAAAGAGATAATTGCTTCTGTGGACCTCGCATTGTGTGCGAGGACCCTTCCTGTGACCCTCTGCCTTATTACTGTACTGACACCAACGTTTCCGCTCATTTTACTTCCGTTAGTGACTGACTTTTTAAAAATTAAAGCTTTAGAAATAAATTATTCCACAGCAACTGAAGCTATATCATTGCTGAGCCAAAAATCCATTTTATTAAACTTATTTCAGCCAATCGTAGGAATTCTATACTTCAGCTGAATATTCTACATAGTTTCGGCATATTTTACATAGTCTCCATTGTTTTGTTTGTTGTGAAAGTTTGTTCTAGTTTTAACAATTTTTTCCTGAAGTGTTGAGTTCTGTACTTATGCCAAGGTTGGCATGATTGCTTATGTTGTTGTCACTATACAGGGGACCTCTCTGAATCCTGCTACATTTTGTGCAGGCCCAATATCAAAACACCTCCTGCCCTGCTGTCCATCCTAACTTCCCAAGTTCTATACTGCTGCTGTTCTCCAGGCTACGATGACCACGCCCTTCTCTCTTTCCATGCTGTGCTTTTGTGCATAGCTACATTACACTGTTTAGCTCCATTTTTTCCTTGCTGTGCTATGCATCTGTGGCCAGGAAATAGAAACAAGTATTTATAACCTCCTAGTTCCAATAAAGTAGACTGAGCATTTCCTGGAGGGATGATGCAGTCTTCCCAGAAAGCTAGCACCCAGGACTTCCCAAGGGGCAGCTTTCCACAGAGCTCCCAGAGCATCTTTGAGCATGATAACATGCTTCTTTTGGTCTGTCTTTATCAGAATTACTTAAAGGGAGAGTTCCTTTGATGTTTTTTTGTAGTAATGGAGGCTTTTGATCCTAGGCAGCTCTGGGCTTGTCAGTAAATCAGTTCTATCCGTCTTTGTGAACCAGAAAGCTTCTAACTGGTAAGAGCAATTGTACTGATCAAGTTCAGGAACCTGAACAGGCACCAAGCATGGAAATGCCCGTGAGCAGATGGACTGAGTGATAACTGTGGACTTTGGGAGTTTGTGCCATCTAACTGGGGTATTAGCCATTCATCTCTAGCTGATCATTGCCATGTGACAGTAACAGCTCACTCTGCCTGACTTAATCTTTTTTAAAGCCCCTCAGCCTGGTTATGCCAGATTTCTCAATTTTGAACTGTCACCAATTCATTAAAGCTTTTTTTTCCTATAAACAATTGAGTCCACCAAACCTTGTCTGTTTTCAAGATGGTAACCAAAGTCCACAGATTTGCTTTATCTGATCTCAAGGAAACACATAAAGATACCAAAAAAAACAAAAAAACAAAAAAAACCAAAAAAAACTTCTCATGTGAGATCAAATAGGCTGCAATGGTGCAATCAACTCTCAGAGTTAGTGGCCTGTCACCCTAAAGAAGCCAGTGTACCTCTACAGTATAAGCTCTCCCATGTCAGACGAACCTGCTCACAGCCTAAACCAGTTAGAACTGACCCTGCCCCAGTGTCCTAGCTAATATCGGGAATCTGATTGTAGCATGAATCTATCCTCTCTTGAATGTAATTGTTTTAGTTTATAGCTCCAGGCTAGTAGAACAATCTGGCTGTGCCATCTGCTAACCCACTGACAGCCAGGGTGGGCTTGGCTGTCCTTGATGCCAGGACAGACTCCCGCTCCCTTCCTCCTGACCAGGCCATGTATGTCTCCCAGCCCACTCCCCGGAAGAGGGTGGTCTGGAAACGTGGTCCTCTCTTGGGCTACCAGAAACCATATGTTTACTGCATAAATAAAATAATAATATGCACTTTCTCTCCAATTCTCTCCCTGACTTGAGTACCTCTGTTACTTTAAAATTAAAACATGTAGTAAATAAAAACTTTTTTTCTTTTAACCATCCTTTAAATAAATTCAGTGGACCATTTCCCAGTATTTCTAGAATGAAGAGTCTGATTTTTGGTGACTCTATATTTTTATCTCACGTGTTTATACTTGTAAAGACTAAAACATAAGACAATACCTTGAAAAATATATATATATATTTAGACCAACTCAAGATTTAATATATTTGAAGGAGGGACATTAGCTTACACTTGAGTTTTACACTATATCATTTCATCTTTTTATCTGTTCAAAAAAGTAATGAGTGGTTTGTCAAATGTTTGGAAAATGTGAAAAAAAGGTTTCTTAAAAGCTTTGTTTTAAATCATACATAATCTCTTTATCCATGTGACGGTATTTATCACAAATGTTTGTGTATGAGTATTTCATTCTTTTTATTTTTATTTCACATAGTGGTGATTCCACTACATATAATCACCCAAATACTGTTTGTTATCCTGTTTTTTACTTGGTATTATATGGTGAGTAGTTGTGTCACAGAAACCTTATAAATGGTGTTAGTTTTTGATTAGTAGTATCAACATTTATTAACCATTCCCTTCTATAGAACATTTGAAAGATTTTTTATTTTTCCCTTAAAAATAATAAATATATTTAAATTGTTATTATTTCAAGAAAATAGGTTTCTACAAGTAAAATTACTATGTGAAAGGGTGTAAGCCTTGTAAAGACCGTTTGATATGTGTTTCCAAAGTGTTTTCCAAAATGGCCTCGCCTGCCAGCTTATCCAGCCACCAGCAGTAAATGAGAGTCTGCCCTCGGGGATTCTCGCCAGCATTTTCAAACCTTTACTAATTTGACAGGTGATCATTTTTATTTGCATTTTTGTATTTACTATTGTGAAGCGTGTTTATTTTTGAACTGTGGTAAAAGTGGTATGAGAGAAGCTCCTAATACACGTTTAAGTTTACACACGATTTTGTTCATTATAAGCACAGTATTTTGAATCTTCTGAACTTTTTATCACGTAGCATTGAGTCTTTACACTCCCCGAGTAGTCATTCCCTTTTGCTGTCTCCCTCTGGCCCTTGGTAAGCACCCTTCTCTTTTCCGCATGGATGGGTCTGACTGTTCTAGATGCCTCACGTAAGTGAATTAGGCAGTATATGTGTCCTCCTTGACTAGCTTGTCTCACTTCACACAAGGGTCTCCAGATTTACGTGTGTCACGGTAGGCGACAGGACTTCCGTCTTTTTTGGCTGAATAGTATTCCATTTTCATTATCTATTCATCTTAGAAGGAAATTTAGTTGGCTATTATAAATAATGCTGCAATGAACAGGAGAATACAAATAGCTCTGAGATCTTGTTTTCAGTTCTTTTAGATAAATACCCAAAATGGGGATTGCTAATTCATGCGGGAGTCACGGTTGTCATTTTTGAGGTGCCTGTGTATGTTTTCCACAGCAGCTGCATAAAATGGTGTCTGCCAGCAGTGTGCCTGGGTGTCAGCTTTGTCACACCCTCTCTTTTGCCTCTTTTGCTTTGTTTTTACAGCCATCCTAATGAGGAGGTGAAGTCTCACTGTAGCTTGATTTGCATTTTTCTAATACTAGAGGCACTGAGCATCTTCTGATGTAACTGTTGGGGATTTGTAGAAATGTCTATTCAAGACCTTTGCCCTTGTTCAGGTTGTTTGGGGTTTTGAGCTTCTTTGGTTTGCCATTTGTTTTGCTATGAGGCATTCCTTATGTGGTTTGGGTATTTACCCTTTAACTAAGCATATGGATTGCAAATCTTTTTCCCAAGAGCTTTTAATTTGAAGTATCATCACTTATCTTTTATTGTTTTATTGCAAGTACTTTTGATGTCATATCCAAGAAATCACTGACGTGCTAAATACAACGACGATTTTCTCCTTTGTTTTACTCTCAGAGTTTTACAGTTTGAGGTCTCATTTTTAAGTTTTTAGTTTAGTTAAGTTTTGTGAGTGGTATAAGCCAAAGGTCTAGTTTTGTTCTTTTGTATGTGGAGTTCTAGTTTTCCTAACACCATTTATTAAAGAGACTATCTTTTGCCTATATTCTCGGTACCCTTGTCAAAACTTAGTCGACTGTATAGGCATGATGTATTTACACCTGTTTCCAGTTGCTATAACAAAATGTCTCAAGCTGAGCCCTTTGTAAAGAAAAGATGTTTATTTTCCTCAAAGTTCTGGAGGTCTAAGTGTATGACCCCTTCTGCTCAGCCCTGGTGAGGTCTTTATAATGATAGCAGGAGAAAGAGATCACATAGTGAGACAGGAACCTGCAACACATTAAAAGCTATTAAATGAAAAGCACGTAGCCAATATTATAGTCCACAGTGAAAATCTGCCAGCTTTTCCTTGAAGATCAGTAGC